TAGTTCGTGAGTTCGAGCCCCGCGTCGGGCTCTGTGCTGACAGCTTGGAGCCTGGAGCCTGCTTTGGATTCTGTGTCTCCCTCTCTGTTCCTCCCCTGGTCACACTCTGTCTCTCTCTGTCTCAAAAATAAAGATTAAAAAAAATTTAAAAAAAAAAAGAATTATTCATTCTCCAGAGTTGGAAAAGCTCAAGGTTCATGAAAGCTCAGGGGCCCATGTTAACTAAATGAAATCCCTGTTCTGGCAGAGAGGGGGAAGAAGTGAATGGTTATCAGGTAGACCATTAACAGTGTTTCCAGAGAAAGTACAATTAGGAGATTTTTATGTTGAGATATTTTTTAACACCTTGGAATGGAATATAGGAATTTTAGGAATCGCTGTTTGGCACTAGATATAGCTTTCTATCAGGCATATAACCACAGCATAGCCTGACATTTTAACTCTATTTTTTTCTTTAGTGAATGTTAGGTACCATATTTTTAAGTGGTTTTGTTTCATCGAATCAGTCTTCTTGTCACATCACAACACTATTCCCATCTGGTATTTATCAGCTCTTTTGTTTTACAGGGTACTCTAGATTTAGAAGTTTAGTTATGTCATTTACAAAAGTTATTTTTATGCTTCTAATATCTCTTAACAAAAGACCTGTTTTAGGTATAGGTTATTATTTAGAATATTTACTTAATCAAAAAGAAAAATGAGGGAGCATGACGTCAGCAAAATGGTAGAACAGTGACTCCACGAGCTCATTCCCCACAGAAACATTGAAAAACAAGTACAAACTGTCAGAACCAACCTCATCAGGACTCTGGAACACAGTCAAGATTTTACAGCAACTAAGCAAATGCAGAGTCAAGAGAAAGGCAACTTCCAAACAGCAGGGAAGTTTTGGAACATTTCTACTCACCCTTGTCCTACCCACCCTTGGATTTGGACTTCGGACTACCACAGCCTACATTCTGAGTTTGGGGCCCTGGTCCCCGATTCCAAAGACGCAGGGCAAACCTTCTCCGCAAATGATTGTGTATGTCAGTTCTAACTCGTCTGAGTTGTTCCTGAAGGACTAATGCCAGCATTCGTCTCTGCTGTGCCTCGCTTGAAACAAGCTGGAGAAGCAGCATGCCTTGCTTGAAAACTCTGCAAACTTAACACCCCTTAGGGGCCGGGCACCAAAAGTTACAGTTGAAACATACAATAAACGGCTTAAAGCCTGCTAAGGAAAGCCAGAAAGAGTTTCCATGGACATTTTTTAAAAAGCCACGTACGCAGAGAAATGTAGAAAACTGTGTCCATGCCCAAGGCAAGATGTATGCACATCTGCCAAGACCAGAGAGGTAGCTTTTGTTGTTATTGTTGCTGTTTTGTGTGTTTGTTTGTTTGGTTGGTTATGGGGATTTGGGGGTTGCCAGTTACTAGCATTCAAAAACACTAATGAAACACAAGCTAAGGAACAGAGACTTCAGTGACCACGCACAACAAGGGATGCAGTCTCTGCAGAATTAGTTCAGGGAAGTAACTAAACAAATAGACTACCACAGCCTTCAAGAAACACAAACAGAGCAAACCATAGGGAAGGGGGAGAATCTGCTTTTCAGAGTCACCACATAACGATATTCAAAGGTCCAGTGTTCAACAACAACCCAAAATGACAAGGCATAAGAAGAAACAGGGAAGTAACCCACTGAAAGGAGCAAAATCAATGGACAGAAAGGGCCCCTGAGAAGTCTGGATGTTGGACGTACTCAACAAAGACCTTAAAACAACCGCTTAAATATGATTTAAAAAAAAACAAAAGACAACTAAAGGCAATCAGAAATACTGTATTAAAATGAGAATATCAATTAAAAGATGGAAATTACAAAATGAGAAAAAACAGCCAAACCGAAATGTTGGATCTAAAAAGCTCCTAAATTACTAAAGCAAAAATATTCAGTAGAAGAGTTTAGCAGCAGCTATGAACAAGCAGAGGAAACAACCAGCCAGCTTGAAGATCGGGCAATCAAAACTATTGAATCTGAGAAGCAGGAAGAAAAAAAAAATGGGGAAAAGAAAGAAGAGCCTGAGGTATCTGTGGGATACCATCCTATGGACCAAAATATGCACTAAAAAATCCCAGAAATATATATACAGAGAGAGAGAGGAGAGAGTCGTAGTTCTATACTAGAACTACATTTT